GCCTTAAATTCATTGTTATAAACACTTGATGACCTATCTAGAGTATCTCCGAAACTATTCGAGTCCGACCCTTATATATATATATGAAATGACTCGGGAAGACATCCCCAACAACATATTTAAAAATGAAGCAAATCGGAGAGGAGGCCCCTTTTATGCATAATTACCAAAATAAGTATTATTTGATACAGAATTTTAGGAAACACGGATAGCTAGATAATAATACATATAAAGTGAACGTGCGCATTTAAATTTAATATTCGTGAGGATACGTCTTATTTAATCATATTTGGTCAATTTTATCATTGTAACAATCACGATAATAAAAATTTCACTGCAGACTCCAGAGTAATAATATTCACTTGTCAGTCAATATATTGATAATTGTTGTGTACCGAGGAAGTGGTTGGATAGGATTTCAGACAGCTTCGAATTACGTTGCAGCGCTTTTGCGATTATCATATGGCGCTTGTACGCGTTTATATGATAAATACTGCTCAGTGATTAATTGAATTCATAGATTATTTATTTACGAATGGACGCAGCGAATTTCAATTATAATTCAATCCGTGTGTAAATTTGCATCATAAAATATGATCATTCCTATGTAGATCTAAGAATCGAAATAAATATTAAATCGCATAAAATATTTTTGCAATTTAAAGAATGATGTTTACTACTCGTGTTACTATTATAGATACAACATTGTTACAAAACGTATAGATAGAGATAAATGCGAATAATTCAGAGGGAACTTACTTTAAAGTCAGTCTTATCGATCAAGCAAGATCTTTCAGCATTGTTATCTAGTATTCTTTGAAAATATTTAAATATTTAAAAGACTTGTATGCGAATTGTTAAGTGTTCGACTTTCTCAAGTCGTGACAACAATGTGTATGTACATTCTTAGGACACCTTTCTCATTTAAATTTTAGTGAACCTTCCTGTTCCATTAGTATATATTTGTCGAAGAATATATGACTGTCTCGCTATATATCAATAATGCACAGATGTTATCGATTTTGCAGAAAAAAAAATATTAGCGATTACAATGGCATTAAAAATATTCAATATCACTTTTATTGCGTAAGTGATCTGCTCTGTTACATATTGCAAATGTATATATGAACATTTTTCTGTACGTGACACTGATAAATGATTTATAACTATGACTCATTGTTAATAAAAATAATGAGGGCATCTGTCAATGTAACTTTTCCGTATTCATGGTTATTCATGAATCATAAATTACTGCCAAGCTATTTTAGTCATATTACATTTCCTTATCACGATTAAAGTCACTTTAAATAAAATAATTTTTGTTTGATTAAAAAGAGATAATTTGATAAAAGAATTATACTTTCACAAAATCTTTTTCACAATAATAATGATATTTAAAGCTATCATCTACGGTACAATAAGCATGTTAGAAAGCAGAAACTGAATATTTTGAACAAATCACATTATTTGTGAACAAATGATTTAGAGGAGAATAATATATTTACTCGACAAAATTATAAAAATTAATAAAAATGATTATATCTAATATTTTTGCCTATTGCAATCTTAATAAATTTATTTACATAACTAAGTCGAATTGATCTATAGTGTATCTGAATTTTTTTCTTAGAATGATCCCTTGAATACTTTTTAGTAATTGTTGGTTTCTTTGCAAAATTGCACATTACTGCCTTAATTATTACACGTTGCATAAAAATGTACTTTTTATTTCACTGAATTTAGCATTAACAACAATAAGAACAATTTAAAGTAAGGACCTGGTAATTGCTTAAAGTTGAAAATACATTTGATTAAATCTTGAGTAAATTTTGGTTAAGTTGCAATTAAATTTGATTTTATGATATTATGTTACCTCAGAAACAAAATAATTATGAAAAACATCATTTAAAAATTAATCCAGCCTTCAGACCCCATACAGCACCAAAGCTTTCAGAAACATTTCAGAAACATTACAACATTGCAATGTTTTCTGAAATGTTTCTGAAAGCTTTGGTGCTGTATGGGACTGCTTAATTTTGCTGCACAAACTCGTAAAAAGAGAAGACTAAGGATCGATTACCAATCGCTATCAAGCTCTCTTTTGGTTTACCCTCAAAGAAGCGCGTCGGGTACACGAGTGCAATGAAAGAATTATACGAAGAGCGCTTCACACAGACATTGTGTGAGATCCAAAATAACTTGGCAGTTACGAAAATGCAGATATATTATTTGAATAGTTTGTTGTATGTTTTAGTTGAGGTTGTTGGCGCTATTTTCATTATCAGCATTGGAACGCTCAGATTCTTATGCGAGTTCTATTTTTATTTTTGTTCCGCAAAAGTCATGTATCATAATAAACAAAGTAAAAGTTCAAAATGTCTTCTCGGACCCCTGCCTTTATCTTAACTCTTGCGTGAACTCGTTGACACAGAGAATTTTTATCTTCTCTTTTGCGCATCATAATGAAATTATCAATTTCGTATTTTTAATTTTGAACACTGATGTAAAATATAACATGTAGCTAATGTCAACGTCAACGTTTTTTTATTTTTTTCAAGTTTTCTAGTAATAGTGGATTAAAAATTTTTAACTGTTCAAAGAAAAAGTCCCAATTTGACTATACAAATTATTTGTTATAACAATACGTAAAACAAGACTGACGTGACTAACGATTAATTAGAAAAGATGTCGTTCTCAGTCGTGGCTGGATTTTATTGTTAGTAGCTTAATAATATTTCTGTGCATCTTTTTTAACTCATTTGTTAGTAAACCGCGAGCCGATTATTTGTCGGTTTTAAAATAACTTTTTATTGGAACAGTAAATCCACGTACTTTAAACTGATAATCGATTTAACTTTTGATAGTAATATGCATCCATTTAAATCACTGTAAAGAATTTGTGAAAAATATTGTGAAAAATATCACTTCAGTCAGGGTTTGCAACTCTGCACCTCTTTTTAATCTATGACGGGTATCTTTAGCAATCACTAAGGTACTTTAATCAATTCTTCGGTTTCGATATTGGCGCGGAGATAACAGTACATTTATAATGGTCGCAATAAAAATTACGTATGGTTTCTTTTTCAGGTGAGAAATGGTACTTCCGAAGGAAGTTGTTAACGCCGTCCTTCCACAGCGGCCTCCTCGAAGTTTATTTGAAGACTGTAAAAGAAGAGACAAGCGTACTAATTTCTTGTCTCGAGAAAATACCGAACACGTGGGTTGACATGGTTCCTTACGCGAAACGCGTCGCCCTCGATATTATATGCGGTGAGTTCAAGAAATGCTATACCGTTTTAATGTAAACAATTGCACGTAAGAGGCGCTACATACATCTTTCGGTGTAACACTGAGAGATGAACTTTATTAAGTGTAGCTTTGCAATGATGCTAATAATAATTATTTATTGCTCTAGTTCCGTGATTGCATTAAAATAATTTTAAGATTGTTCTAATTAACACGAACGCATCAATCGATTTATTTAATAAACGATTATTTTGTAATAAGTCACATCGTTTTCTGCATCAGTAGATTTTATTAAAAGGTTCCGTTAAATTATAACTGTATGGGCTAAGAGAACTGTGTATTGACTTTTGACGTTATACAGAGAGATTAAAAAATTCCGACGATTCGATCATCAGTTAATGAGTCTCTCTCATTATTCTTAACGACTTGCGATAACATCGAGATCCGCGTGATCCGCGAGCTACGCTAAATCGGGGCCTTCTCTTCCAATCCAGCCCGACGATAACGACGCTTCTATCCGACTTCGTATTGCTAAGACGACGTGGCGACGACTGTCGTTTTCTCATTTCTTCCGGCAATCTTGATTTATTTTTCCGTTTGAATTTTCTTCGTACGCATATCGAATCACGGCCAATCTCCGACGTCAAGCTGAATCAATTTGCGTAATTAGCCGCCTTATTATAATCCGCAATTAAATTTTCAAAAATCGAAGGAAGTCCCGAGAGGCACATGATACTTCTTTAAATGATTGATAGGAATGGAAATTTATTTTATTTGGCACGAATTTATCTGATACATTCTTATCACATGAATAATGTTTAGAAAACAATGATACATTTACAGAACAAAGATACGAGATAATACCAATGAAGGGGATTGATATAAATGATGAGTCAAATGATTTCCGCATGGCTTTCAACTGCTCCGATTAAAATATTGAAATACTTTAAGATTTATTCGTGAACCAAGATGTCTATAGAAATATTTTTATTCCTTTTCTCACTATCATTATCGCATTAATCACATTTCACACGTTTATGAATAATAAAAATACATTGTTATTAACATCAGTAAAATTTTACTGTAAAGAGTCTTGAAATAATTTCTTCGATTCCAATTTATCGTTCTCTGAATCAAGTAATTTTGCCTTAACACGAGAATAGTCCATTGGCTCTGATAAACTACAGGTTCTCAGATAGCACGATTGACGTATCTGCTTCTTACGTCTCGGTAACTTGCAATACCAATCCTTTCGCGGCTGCGATAGCTCAATTATCCGCTGCGTAGCTGCGCCATTTGCAACGAGCGACACACGATGCAAAATCGATATTTTGTTGTTCACATTTACACTGCTCAAAAGAAATATGGCATAGAAAAATTTTATGCAAAAATTGGTCAACTTTGACTGACGGTAACTCCGTGAAAAATCATCGTAAAATTATGTTTTTTTTTTATTGTAATTAAAGCTTGAAATCTCTACTTTAAGATGCTATAGTTCGATTTTAGGTGTGATGCATTCCTACCATTGTAACACCTTAAATGTGAGGGCATGTTTGTTATATTGAAAATTACAAAGTTTGACGGAGTGCATGGACTTGCTACATTTTTTTTTCGGGGATACTGTTTGCAGGAACATAAAGTACGAACCTTCCTCTTCAATTTAGAAAAAAAAGAAGTCGCTGCCATTTTTTTCCGCAAGGATACGGTACTTTAAAATAACCCTTGCATTATTGGCATATACCAGGTTGCCGGTCGGATTTTGCACATCATATGGCCCTGAAAAGAGCCATTTGTGTGTGTGTGTATGTGTGTGTGTGTAGAATGACTCATTTTTGGGGTGCTTGATTAAAGTGAGTCCTCTTGCCTCTCACTTGTGTGTGTGTGTTTAATTTTGAAAAACGCGTGTTTCCTCCGCATTGTTGAATTACTGCTTGCAGCCGATTCCTCATGTTAATGCAAGCCCTAATTTCTTCCTGTGGAACGACATTCCCACATTCCACAGGAATTAGGGCTTGCATTAACATGAGGAATCGGCTGCAAGCAGTAATTCAACAATGCGGAGGAAACACGCATTTTTCAAATTTAAACACACACACACACACACATACACACACACAAACGGCTCTTTTCAGGGCCATATGATGTGCAAAATCCGACCGGCAACCTGGTATATGCCAATAATGCAAGGGCTACTTTAAAGCACCGTATCCTTGCGAAAAAAATGGCAGCGACTTCTTTTTTTCCTAAATTGAAGAGGAAGGTTCGTACTTTATGTTCCTGCAAACAGTATCCCCCCAAAAAAATGTAGCAAGTCCATGCACTCCGTCAAACTTTGTAATTTTCAATATAACAAACATGCCCTCACATTTAAGGTGTTACAGTGGTAGGAATGCATCACACCTAAAATCGAACTATAGTATCTTAAAGTAGAGATTTCAAGCTTTAATTTAAAAAAAAGAACATAATTTTACGATGATTTTTCACGAAGTTACCGTCAGTCAAAGTTGACCAATTTTTGCATAAAATTTTTCTATGCCATATTTCTTTTGAGCAGTGTATATACTTCAATTAGTAATCTACGCGAAATGTATTATACAATTTTTAGATTTGATGTATTTTCAATTTCGTTATTTTAGAATCTTTGTAATAGTTATTTTCTGTACGAAGGTTTATTTAAATCGAATAGAAATCGCGATATTGACAGACTAAAAAATGACCAAACTTATCTAAATAAGTCATCACTAACAAATTACTAACCGATTGCTTTAAGTGCGTTTGGTGAGACAAAACTAATGAGTTTCGGTGCTGAATCGTGGATAACTTTTGGACATCTAAGCTCGATTACGTGAGACGTTGATTTTGGTACTTTACTTTTCAGAAATTTTCCCTCTTGAACTTCTGTTATGTGAGATCGAGGTTGGGCTAGTTGCGTTGTCCGCTCTGTTATCTCGTAAAGCAACGCAGACATCTTTACCTAAAGAAATTTAATGATTTTTAATATTTATCGATTAATCAATTTAAACAGTGCAGTATATGAATTATTATAAAAATTGTAGTTCCAATGCATTACATATTATACCTAAACCAGTTGTCTTTGATATGCATTATAATAAATGTATGAAAAAATTAGATATAAACTGAATATACAGAATATATTTAAAATACAAAAAAATATGTAACATAAATACTTTTTGTATCTTAACTTAACACGGAAATGTAAGAATTTTTTGAACATTTGTTTGTAATCTAAAAATACGCACTGAAAACGAAAATATCTTTTAATTAGAAATTACTATTTGGACTTTTATGTATTCCTTCCGCTATTTCTTTCACGATTTTAAGTATATGAAGTAAAATATTACAAAAATGTAAATAGCTATGCTAGCGTGTTTCTTTGGTACAAGATTTGATTAAGAAGAGTCCTGTACTTTAGTTAAATCTGGCGGATCATTAGATTTGTAACTTCTTCGTGGAGTAGACAGTCGTGAGATCGACGACATAGAAATAACTTTCTTCTGCGTGGACTTTGAAATAGTAGTTTTAAAAATTGGAGAACTTTTATTATCATCTGTACCGTCAATACGCGATCTCGATTCCTCGCTAAGCGAATGAGTATTGTCTTTGTCAGTATTTTTCTTGAACATTTGCTCTGTTTTGATAAACAAATCCTTATCGAGCAGATTAAGCCTCGGTTTTGCGAAGTTATTTGAATCCTGGTTAAACGCAATTAAATCTGCCATTTATTTACAGTTGTAAGACGATACTCGCGAAAACAAATATTTATAACATATAGCCTTTTACGTATTGATAACTTTTGTCCTTTTGGTTGGTCTGACTTACTTAATACTCGGAATTTTGGAATGGAAGAAAATAAATGTATGTATGCACAATCGATTATCGCTCATCGACTGTTTACTGGTCACAAATGTTTCGACCGAGCGTTGTTAAAATAAATACATTTAGGTAGTTGTATCGTGTACACTGTATAATATTAGTAAAAAGTAATGATTACTGCATACGTTGTAATTATAGTCACAACGGAGCATGTTCTTTTGTGAGCGATAAAAATCAGGTAGAAAAGTAGACAGGGTATTATGGCCATACGGATGAGATGCCCATGAGCTGTAATTTCTCCAATAATTGCTAATTAGTGTATCTTTTTTAGTTATTCTGAAAGATAATCGATATTTACAGTGGTTTATGTGCATTTACTATTCGAAAATGTTTTCTTTATTATTTACAATATATTAGGCCTTTTAAATATAATATGTATGGCAAACTGTCCTGTAATACTATGGCCATCTTTTCCCTACAAGTCAGGTAAAATGGCCAATGCGTACATTGTGATATTTTGATAATATAAAATTTATGTTAAGTATTTTTGTATTAGTTTTGATAGTATTACGTACTTTAAGCTTCAATGAAGCAGTATAGCAAGCACAATTAAAAAAATAACAAAAATTAATGTATATTTTTTACACAAAAAAAACTATGGTCATCATACTCGAGTGTACCCTACTCTATGGATTCTCAGTCTTTACCCCTATTTAATTAAGACAGAAACACAGACTTTTGCATAATACATAACGCATAATGCATAAGGGAGCAAACCAATTAAATGCTTTCTTTTTCATCCCCACTGTGGAAATAAATAATTTGCGAAGTGTTAATTATTATTAATTTTTAATGCAATTTAGAACATGTATTGTTTTAATTTCGTATTATTAAATGTCACCATACGCTTGTATATAATTATTTATCCGTAATTGTGTATTTAACGCTGTATATGTTAATACAATTAAATGTTTAATTGCAAATTTTATCATTTGCATTACGTATCAAAGATTGGAATATTGCATTATACATATATTATAAAATTTCTTTACGTAAACTTTATTTTAATAATTTTATTTTATTTTACTAATTTTATTGCAGATACTGCGATGGGCTACAAACTTAATGCGCAAAGAAATTTCGAGAATAAATACGTTGAAGCTGTTAACAAGTAAGTTTACGATTCTTCCGAAATTGCACTCATTTTTTATAATTTTACCGAAATTTTATATAATATGTTGAGATTTTCTTGCAAAAGAAAATTTTAACAAATAAATATCCAGTTTATTCAATGATAAGCTTATTGTTAGTCGTAAAGAATATTGTCTAGAACTCACAAATGCTTAACTGACTTGGTAGATAGGGATAGGTAGGGCTCTGATCTTTTGGGCCTTAGCAGAATGGTTAATTTATACAATAATTTCAAGAATATTTATACAATATTTAGAAAATATTTATGTTTTTATTCTCATACACAAAATATACTCCAGTATTACCAATTAGTCTAACAATGAGATATGCTTTTCATATACAGGGTGAGTCATTTTAATCAAGGCACGCAAATATCTCTTCGGGGAAGGGGGCTAGCAAAAATGACCCAGGCAAAAGTTGTTGGGTTTCGAGGGGGACATAAGATAGTACCATTGATTTAATCTTGAATAATTATTTGAAGGTCACGTGAAGATCACCTTCAAATTTTTTTAATGGAACCCCCTATTGTTCATTATGCTATGTTCATATCTTATTTTACTAATTAATATGAACAACTTTTGTCTGAAACATTTTTGATTTGCTTAAAATCTTTTCGTTTATTTCAATCCATTCCTGCCCAAGATAATACTCATATAAAACGAGTCACCCTGTATATACCAAACTTTATTTAAGAAATATCCGTTTCTAATTTGTAGAATTGCATCTATCATGCAGATGCGTTTCACAAATGTATGGGTATCATCAGATACAATCTTCAAATTGACCAAGACAGGTAAAGAGCATGACCATTCCATTCGCGTCATCCACGAATTTGTCAATAAGGTAATAATCCCAAATTAAATAAATCCGGATAGTTAAAACCTTCTAGCTATCTCCAACAGCTTCCAATCTCACGAGAAGTCTCATTGCAGAGTAATATCATTGCTAAAATAACAAACTAAGATTAACGCAAGTGCAATCCCACTTGTAATCTCATTATTATTTTATTTATAGATCAAAATCAATCACAAATCTATTTTTCAATTAATTGTTTCAATTTCAAATGTGTTTGAAAAAGTTTAAGACTATGCAAAATTTTTATTAAAATTACAAACTATAAAAGAAAGTCAGAGATATAAGATGACATTTTTTTTGTCATAACAATGATACAACCATAGAACAATTAGACCGATATCTCTTTTTTCTTATACAAATGTGCTGTCCAAATTTGATAGAACTAGATCTATTGCTTTAGATCCACAGCTTAAACTACATCTAATTTGCAGGTAATCGCAGAAAGAAAGGCCGAATGGAAACAGAAATGCGATGATAACTTCAACAAATCGTCGAAGAAGAAAAGAGCCCTCCTGGATTTGTTATTGGAGATATCGCATAACGGTACCATTCTTTCGGATGAGGACATTCGCGAAGAAGTAAATACTTTTATGTACGCTGGACATGACACGATGGCCACTAGTATATCCTGGACTCTTTATGTGCTAGGACGACATCCTGAATATCAAGTATATCCTTTATTATATTGTTTTAGTTATATTTTACAATTGAATGTAATATTTTTGACAATTATTAAGAAGATTTTTGCATTTTCCATATATTAGATGCATTTCTTAAATTGTAAAATTAAGTCGAAGAAAACAGATAAAAAAACATTTAAAATTAATTAGATTTTTTGGACACCTTTAACATAAATTTAACTTCACCCTTTCCTTGTTTTTTCTTCAGGAAAAAATTCTGGACGAATACAATAACGTGCTGGGAACAGATGAGATTACATTGGAGAATATAAATAAATTAACATGGTTGGAAGCCTGCATCAAAGAACAGTGGAGACTCTACCCAGTAGTCCCACTTATAGCAAGACAAATTTATAAGCCGATTGAGATACGTAAGTACCTCTCTTGCTACATTTTGAAAGCGTCATTCTGTCTTTGTTGCGCATTGAAGAAAGATAGAATAATGCTTTCTAATTGCAAATATGAGTGCAGAATCCATCTCTAGTAAAGCAAATGTATTCCTGAGATAAAACATCACATGTCTCGAGTGCTCATTCCCATTGCTCCATTCTCGTTTCCATAAATCATACACAAACCGCATAGCATATTTGAATACATCCCAGGCATTGTACACCTTTTTACTCAAGGCTCAGTGACACAAAGATTAATGTTACTTACATTTGTTATTGTAGTCACTTACAATGATAATTATCAGTTACTAACTAATACATTCTCTGTGAATACACAACAGAGATAACTAACTGAGGAACCTCGCAGAGGTCCAAACCAAGTATATCACGTATTCGTACAATACCTCTGACCCATTAATATTTCAATCCATGTCTTAGGAACACAGCTTAATTGACATGATATATATGCCTACAAAGAAGCGCCCAAAACCATCTTCCCCTTCCTTTTGCCGATTTACAAATATATCATAGATTAATCAACATTAGTAGTCACTCACAATGATAATTATCAGTTACTAACTAATGCATTCTCTGTGAATACACAACAGAGATAACCAACTGAGGAACCTCACAGAGGTCCAAACCAAGTATGTCACGTGTCCGTACAATACCTCTGACCCATTAATATTTCAATCCATGTCTTAGGAACACAGCTTAATTGACATGGTATATATGCCTACAAAGAAGCGCCCAAAACCATCTTCCCCTTCCTTTTGCCGATTTACAAATATATCATAGATTAATGAACATTAGTAGAGCACTATATTTCACCAAATAACTGTCAAATAATAATCTTTAAAATGTATGCACAACTGTTGCTATATCGCACAAAATAAGGAAAAATATCTTATACAAATTATAATTATTTTTAGTGGGCAATCAAATTCCACCGGGTTCAACAGTTCTTATCAACTCCTATTTGCTGCATCGCGACGCCCGTTACTTCCCTGAACCTCATATTTATTACCCAGAGCGATTCTTATCTGATAGCTGCAAGTTTCCCCCGTATGCCTTCATCCCCTTCAGCGCTGGATCACGCAACTGCATTGGCTGGAAGTTTGCCACTCTGGTTATTAAAGTGATCATCTTGTCCATTTTGAAATCCTTCCGCGTGGAAGCTATGGATAGAGAGGACGAATTACGTTTTATATCCGAACTGGTACTGGTAAATCCAAATGGACTTCGTCTTAAATTCACACCACGCTGACATTAAAGTGTAATCTTTGTCCACACTACTAAAAGTGGAAAAAGATTACACTTTAATGTGTGTGTGTGTTACAATAGGAATAAGAATGTCTTGGACACACAACAGAGAGGTTGGAGTCATTAAATATGGCGGAAGTAATAAATCACGAGGTTCTTATCCCTAGTGTGACACACACACACACGCGCGCGCGCGCGCGCGCACACACACACACACACACACACATACAAAATACCATTTTATATGTATATTATCTATGTAATTATATCCATAAATTGTTAATTAACTTACTTAAGTATATGTATATTCTCATTTCCCGATAAGCCGAAGATCTGGTGATACACTTCAGCTTTCCAAATATTTGCAAAATCTCTCACTTTCCTGAAGAGAAAAAACACATTTTTGAGATGTTATACTGTGATTCTGCAAATATATGGAAAACTGAAGTTTATCATCAGATCCCCAGTTTATCAAGACATGGGGAGGTGCAACAATTAACTTAATTTCGGAATAATCTTCTGGAGAGTATATTAACCTAGAGAATAACTATCATAACTTTAGATTTCTAAATATAAATATGCACATATTTGTACAATATATTCACACACCCACCACTAAACTCCATTAAAAAATAGTTAAATTTTAATCACATGTAAAACAAGGAGAAAGGAAATAGAATGAAAAAGAGAAATCAACATCTTTAAAAAGTAGTTAAATTTCAATCACATGTAAAAAAAGAAGAAAGGAAATATATAGAATAGAAAAAAGAAACATTACTTTTTAAAGATGTTTGTTTCTCTTTTTTATTCTATTCCCTTTCTCTTTTTTTACGTGTAATTGAAATAATGTGATGTAACAAAAGTTAATATTCATTAAAATTTGTTAATCACATTACTTTTTAAAAGAAACATTACTTTTTAAAGATGTTTGTTTTTCTTTTTTATTCTATTTCCTTTCTCCTTTTTTACATGTAATTGAAATTTAACTACTTTTTAAAGTTGTTGATTTCTCTTTTTCATTCTATTTCCTTTCTCCTTGTTTTACATGTGATTAAAATTTAACTATTTTTTAATGGAGTTTAGTGGTGGGTGTGTGAATACATATATTATACAAATATGTGCATATTTATATTCATAAATTTAAAGTTAAGATACTTATTCTCTAAGTTGATATACTCTCCAGAAGATTATTCCGAAATCAAATTAAATGTTGACCTCCCCATGTCTTGATAAACCGGAGGTCAGATGGTAAACTTCAGATTTCCATATGAAATAATGTCATGTAACAAATTTTAATTTTAATATTAATTAAAATTTGTTACATCACATTATTTCAATCACATGTAAAAAAAGAAGAAAATTTAATAAAAAAAAAGAGAAACAAACATCTTTAAATAGTAATGTTTCTCTTTTCTATTCTATTTTCTTTCTCCTTTTTTTACATGTGATTGAAATTTAACTACTTTTTAAAGATGTTGATTTCTCTTTTTCATTCTATTTCCTTTCTCCTTTTTTTACATGGGATTAAAAATTATCTACTTTTTAAAGATGTTTCTTTCTATTTTTCATTCTATTTCCTTTCTCCTTTTTTTTACATGTGATTGAAATAATGTGATGTATCAAATTTTTATATAATTATAACGTGTCTTTATACAAGCATGTGCGTGTGTGTGGTAGGTGTATGCCCAGCAAACACAAAGTAACAGTTATTATAACTGTTACTTTGTGTTTGCTGGGTGGGTATCTTATACAAATATGTGCATATTTATATTTATATATCTAAAGTTAAGATACTTATTTTCTAGGTTGATATATTTTCCAGAAGATTGTTACCAAATCAAGTTAATTATTATACCTGTACCTCCCCCATGGTCTTGATGTTGCCGTGGGATGTGGTCACAGGAGGTGACGTGTTGCATGTACGAAAGTACAAGAATGATATAACTGGACAGAGGACTTACTTGCAGAGATCCGACTCTGCTTCTCTGCATGGCAGCCGAGCGC